GTGCAATCCAGGATACACAAAGAGGATGTGGCTCAAGACAGTGCAGAGGCACATTGATGTGGGTCTGGCATTCTTTCCAGTAAGTCCGCTGAGTCTCTGTAGGAAATGGAGCCAGTGGGGTAAAAGGAGCAACCACAGCCACTGCTCAGCTATCACGGCCTGAAGTATGTGGAAGAAGAGGAGACAGTGTGGGACACAGAATTACAGGGTGGGAGCATCGCACATGATGGTAACGAGAGTGTGTGTTGCTTGGGCCTTAGCTAGTGTGTCTGACATCTGATAACACTGCTGCACTGGCTGGTGCAGCTGTAAGGTAGGTGATGTGCTCCTGTACAGCATGATTAAAGATAGTGATCCAGCAGACAGCAGGTTGCCCTGGAAGCACGGGAGCCTAGGATGTAAGTCAGCTCCTGACTAGTCACATGCAGCTGCTGTGAATGGGAAGTCATTGGTCCCCTATTTCCTTCCCAGGAAAAGTGGATTTTGTAGTGGTATCTTGCAGGAATCTCTCCTTTTCCTGGCCTTGACACTTTTCTAGTGCACTGGAAGAAAATACAAGACAATATGGCACAGGTTGCTGTGTTAGAGTGCCAACATGGAGGAGCCCGGCCCACTCTGTGTGTGCCTGCATGTTATCACACACGCTGGAGTTTGACCAGCGCAGTCACAGCTGGGGGCATCGCTCCATACTCCTGTGTCCAGGGTCCCCAGGTGTGGGACATGCTGTGTGAGATGGGTGCTGCGAAACCATGGCAGGGTGACTGACTCCACAGACAGTTTGCATAGACAAAGCCAAGGGCTGTTTTTTGTGGGAGTCACAAGCACCGGCCCCGTAACTTTAGTGCCTTGCTGGAGATACTCCAAAACCCAGCCAGCTGCTCACTGACCTCACTGTCCCTCTCCAAGTGCCTGAGCATCTGCCCTTGCTGAGCACTGAGCATGTCCCATGTGCCCCAGTGGCCTCAGCCACTTCCATGCTTGTCTGCCCGAGGAGACTGGCCCAGCCCCACGTGCAGAGGTGCCTTGGGTGGTGGAGGCTGATACATGAGGGGTGTGGGTGTGCAGCACCCAGGGGAGCCCTGGGTGCCACTGCTCTACAGCTGGGATGCTGTAGGGAGGGGAGGCAGGCATGGCCAGTGCGAGGGAGTCCTTCATCCCATCTGTCTTTCGGCAGCGGTGATTGCCCTGTTCTGCAGACAGTATGACATCATCAAGGATAACGACTCCAACAACAACAAGGAGAAGACAAAGCCGTCCTCAGAGCACAGCACACCAGAGCGACCAAGCGGAGGGCTGCTGCGGAGCAAGGTGAGTGGGGAGGGCTAGCAGGAGGGATGGCGTGTGATGTCTGCTGGGGCTTGCGGCCTCCACAGGTTCTGAATCTCTCCAGAAACAGAAACACCCCAGCTTACGCTCTCACCCTGAAGACTGAGGGGTTTTAGGGTGCAGTGACTCCTGGTCTCTCTGGGGCACTGTGTGTGCCCCATGGGTGACTGTAGGAGAAACACTGGAAGAGACGACAGGATATGTCAGCTGGGATGGCTCTTACCTGCTCTGTTCTCTCACTGTAACAGACCCTTCACCATGCGCCTCCAAGGCTGCACCTCCCTGCACCAATGGACTGCTCTGGCTCCTGCCTGTTCAGGCAGGAGTGGACAGGCTGGGCAGCTGTTCCTGGGTTCCTGCACTGGTCTGTCACTGATTACTTTCTGCCTTCACCACAGCTTACTCCACATTATCACCACACGAGTCATTCCAGAGCCCCTTCCCCACCCTGATGGAGATGTGCCAGGCTGTGGATGGGAAGGGAGGAGTACCTTCATCTGGCTGTTCCCTCAGCACCTGACACTTCTCCCTTTGTTACCTACCAAAGACAGGGATTTATAACCCTGATGCTCTAATGGGACTGTGCATTAGGTTTTTGCTTGTGTTTCATCTGCCGCCTCCGTCAATGGTGGGAACTCCCTTCACTGTGTTGTCTGACTGCCCCACTGATTCCACATCTTGATTTCCAGCATATGTCAGAAGCAGAACCTTCCTGTTGGGATTTCAAGGCCCCAGTTCCCCTCCTCCAGATTTTCCAGCTTCTTGATTACTCCTTGCCAGAGATCCCTCCTCTTGGATCCCTACTGCAAACTGACCCTGTTCTGCTGAGTTCTGCTGGTCTTGGTGCCTGCTGTGGGCTTGGGGGGCTCTGCCAAGGGGTCTGATCCCAGAGGCACAGCAAAGCAGGGCCTTAAAGCAGATTTTTCTCTCATAGAAGAAATCTCCTTCGGTCAATATCATCGAGGTGTAAGTGCAGCACCAGCTCTGCGTCTGGGGTCCTGAGCGTCCTGCTAGAGCCAAAGCAGGCCTTGGAAGAAGAGGCAGCACCAGGCGCCCGGCCTGGAACTCAGCATGCAATGATCCACGTATCAGAACTCCCACTTTCCCGAGGGCACCTGTCTGGGGATGTGCATGGAGCCAGCTCCCAGCTGTGCATGCAGAGCATGGCTCTGCCCACCCCGCACGCCTGGCGCCGCTCCCTTGCCACTGCGGAGCACGAAGCTGAGAGCGGGTGGGGGGCCACACCACCGGCTGTGGGGGGAGCCGAGGGGGCAGTGCACTGGCCTGAGGGGTGGCCTCGTCCCTGTGCCCCGGCTCGGCCGAAGCCCTGGGTGCAGTCATGGCACCGGATGCCTGCCTGGTGTCAACCTGGGACAGACCTTGCTCTCAGCTGCCTGTCTGGGCTTGGGGGGCTGCCTGTGGGAGCTGCTCCCCTCTGGGCCCCAAGGCTGAGGGGATGGGGCAGTGCAGGCATTGCCCCAGTGCTGCCAGGGGAGCTGTGGCCAGGTGGCAGGAGTGTTTGTCTATGGGGCTGGGCCCAGTCAGCACAGGGGAAGAAGAGTGGATTGCTGCTGGAGAACAGGGCTCCACTGCACCCTGTCATGGTCATGCAGGGACTTTGAAGCCTCTCTACTACAGAGGACAAAGACACAAATGAGGATGAGAAGTGAGTGCTGGCTCAGTGCCTGGCCAGCCCGCAGAGCCTGCAGCCAGGGCAGGGATTGCTGGTGGGAGCCCCACAGAGCTGGGGGAGTGGGCAGTGCCAGGGCATGGCTGTGGCTGCCCTGTGTCCCCAGTAAGGGCTCAGTGCTGGCACATTCAGGCTGTTTATGGGAAGCTGCTGAGCACTCTGTGAGCAGCACAGTGCCTGTGCTGCCTGGAGGAGGCAATGTGGTGAGACCTGCAAGGTCTCAGTTGGAGGGAACAGGATGATACAAGGAGGCTATCTGCTGCCCTGGCTGCTGCTCTCCCTCCATGCCCTGCTCTGCAGCCTGCCATGTGCTGGCTCTGCAGCCCTGGACTCAAGCATCACAGGATCCAGCGTCTTCCAGGAATAAACCTCCCAATAAAAGCACTTTCAGGACTCTTCCTTCCAGGTGCTGCTCAGCTCCTGCTGTAGGACTAGGTGGGGAAGGGATGGGATAAGCGACTCCTGCGGCAGGGTCTTTTCAATAAAAGCATCCTGGCTCAAAGGCAGCATTGTACCTGCAAAGCTGCAAGTCCTGTGTGTGTCTGTGCACGTGTATGTGTACCAGTAGTTTTTGAATGCATGTGCCTGGCCCTTAGGAGAAGACCTCTTCCTACCCAAGGTCACCTTGCACCCCTCTGGCCCTTGAGGGAGAGCCAGCGCTGCATGCTGGGCCATGTCATGCTTCTGGACCAGTGGCAGACTGTCCCACTGAGGATGGCATCACAGCTGTGTCTCTGCAGAGAGCAGAGACATGCCGGCAGCAGGGCCAAGAAGGGGACAAGACCTGACCCTGACAGGCTGCTGGCTGGAGGGGCCTGTGCTGCTTCCTGCTCAGGTGAGGAAGGGGCAGTAGTGATGGGATGCAACTGCTGCTGGGCTGTACCCTGGGCTGCAGGGAGCATGGTCGCAGCTTCAGAGAGACAAACACCTTCTTTTGCCCACTGGCTTGTTTTTTAGGGTACATTAAAAAAATTAGGGCTGTCAGGGAAATACAAGAGTAGGCACACAAGAATCAAAGGATCATACTGCAGCTGAGATAAGGAGCCAGGGAAGGCACAAAACAATTGTCAAAATGCACTGGTTGGGGCCAAATAATAAAAGGAACACAAAGGTCTGACACTGAATGTAAAATCAGTGATGTGGTGGTGAAGCAAAAAAGACTTCCCCCATGTAAAAAAACTCCAAACCCCAAGCCACCTCTTCTTTCTCAGACCATGGCAGTGCAGGGAGGCAGGGAACTGCAGACATGAGTGCTGGAAGCAGAGGGCCTGACAATGACCTGCTGACTCTAACTACAGTTAGAGGTTGCTGTGTGCCCTCAGCTGAGGGAGGAAAGGCATGAGACCAGATTCAATATGCAAAACCCCAAGTGAGAAAAACAGCACACAGCTCCTGACTGACTCATGGCACCCCAAGCTTCCAAAGTGCCAGCCTTCCCATGGCACTCCAGGCCTCCCCAGTGCCAGCCTTCTCATGGTACCTGCCTGTGGCACTTGCTGGGAGACTGGCCCTGCCACCACGGCTGCAGCCAGTGATTGCTGCTTGACTGGGCTGTCAGTGCCAGCAGCCTGAGAAGGGGAGCAGTGTGTAGATGTGACAGGAACCCAGCAGTGAGGGCCTCAGCCAGAACATAGCTGCATGCTGTTACTTGACAGAGAGACCAGATGTCCTGATGGCTGCAGCCTCCTCTGCTCTGTCTGGGGAAGGAAACCAAGTGCATGGCTTGCCTGTGCAGAGCGCAGCTCGGGTACAGCATTCACAGCTGCTCAAGACACCAGAACAGCACAGCCTGGACAGCTCCTCTCAGGTCACAAGGGCACCCTCGGCCCCAGTGGACCTCAGCACAGGGGGAACAGCTCCCTCACGGCTTGCAGCTGAGGAAGACATGGGAGCTCCAGGCTCCATGAGCTTGGGGCACAGTGAGCCTCAACACACACAGTGCAGCAGACACATGGCACCTATCCAGCACTCAAACCTAAACAACAACAGTAAAAAACTCAGTTTATTTCTCTATAAAGGCAGAGCTTTTCTTTAAAAACCAGCTCGTTTCACTCACGAGAGGGTGTGGGGCTGAACTGCAGGGGCAAGGCCTTCCTCACACACTGCTCCAGGCCAAGAGCTATTGCTCCCTGAGGATGTGCACTGGTTGCATCCAGCAGGCTCAGAGCACTGTGTGGCCTGGGAGCAGGCAGAGTGAGGAGCACAGGTCCCCCAGCCTGAGCTGGGAGCACCTGCAGCTTTAGGCGGTTCATGCAGGCAGAGCAGGACAAGGAGCGGGTGTCACAGCCTGTGCATTCCATGGCAGTGGTGCCGGCAGCCCCCGTGCCCAGAGGGCAGTGCCAGGGCAGGGGCAGGCACTGGCTGGCCCGGGTGCAGGCACAGGGTGAATCCTGAGTGGCTGGTCCATTGTCGCAGAGATTTGGCTTAGCCCAGGGGAGTCTTGGGGCCAGCAGTCCTGGGGCCAGAGGTGGGGAGGTCTCCAACCCCTCCCAGCCCTGTCCAGCCGTCTGAGGAGTGCCCCAGGTGATAGCACAGTAGCTGCGCTGTAGGAGAGCGTGCTCGGGGCACAAGAGGTGTTAATTCTGAAAAGCAAGAGGAAGACATGGCGAACTGTGAGACATGAGGCTGGGAGCCCAGCACAGCCTGGGAGGGGAAGCAGACCTTCCCAGGTGAGCATCAACCCCCTCCCCCTGCAGAGGACATGTTGGGGGATGAGCCAGTGCAGCACTGAAGGAACTTACCTGCTGGGCTATGGGCTCCCCTCCCCAGCTCCTCCATGCTGCTTTGGAAGAAAACACAGCACCTATCATATCCCAGGCGTGGCCTCCCGAGAGACACTGCATGCTCCTGACCCCGCCAAGGCAGGCAGCATCAGGCACTGGGAGTGCAGAAGGCCTTAAGCCCATTTGCTACCAAACTCCCTCCCCAGACCTGCCTGTCCTGAGACTGCATAGCCACATCTCCTTCCCATTAGGAGCCCCCTGTCCAAAGGGCTGCCATTTCCTCAGGTTGCACACACAGCTCCCATCTGTGCATGCGCTGGTTCCTGGCTGGCACTAGCTCAGCCCAGGCTCAGCCATGTGGCACTGCCAGATCCCAGCTGGCTGGCACTGCCATGCACATGGAGAACAGCCACGATGAAACAGGCCTCTCACACTGCACTTCTGCAAAGACCTGCAGATTAATAGTCCACTGCTAGACTGGTTCCATCAGCTCCTCCCCAGCACAGGACGGACACCATCAAGCTCAGCCCACAGCCCCAGTCCATGCAAAAGTCAGCATGACCAAGCCTCCATCCTGGTCCAAGCCCCAGGGAAATCAGTCAGAGGAAGGGGACAATTCTGAGTCCCATCTGAGAGTCATGTATGGACAGGCTGGCATCAACAAAGAGTGGCAGAAACAGAACAAGAAACATCTCTGGGTGCACCCCGGGGGTCACCATCTGACCCCCATAGCTCCACTGCAAAAGCTGGACTGCAAGGTCTGTCCCTCCACAGCTCAGCCCCCTGTTCACTTGAGCTCTCAACTGACAGAGGCAGAGTGTGAAGCTTCTGCTTGGTCCCATTCAGCTCTCCTCCATGATCCCACCATGTCCATGGCCCCAGCAGCTCCCCTTGCATGGAGGAGAGAAAAGGAAACAAGACAGGGTGCATCAGAGAGATGTCTGAAAGGAAGAAGCAGCTCACCACCTACCCAGATAAGGTTTCACCGACATTATCATCTTCCTCCTCCTCTTCCTCCTCCTGGCAAGCAAACAAACAAAAAAAATATCGTGACACCTCCCTGCATGGGCAGGTCTCTGCCAGAAGTGAGGCTGGGCTGCTCAGAGCCTGTCTGGAGCAGCAGGGCAGTGCCTAGCCCCTTCACAAGACAGTCACTCACTCCCCCAGACACGGCACAAAAGATTCCCACAGTGGGAAAGACTTGGGAGTGCTGGACTGCCAGAACCCTCTGGGTTCAAGCACACAGGCACACAAGGAACAGACAGACCATGGCTCATCCCACATGCCCTCCAGCAGCAATGCCCCAGGTGCAGGTGGTGAGTAGGGACTACACTGACACAGCTGCTGACACAGCACACCTCTGCCCAGGGACAGTGGTGGGTGGGCACACCTTGCAGTGGGAGGGCAGGCAGAGACCACCGTGAGCAGGCTGCAAGTAGGTACAACCCCAAGCACTGCCAGGCTGGGCCTGCTCTGGAAGCATGAGGCCAAGGACCAAGCATCCAGAGTCTCCTGGGCAGGGACATAGTGAGACTGGCAACATGGCAATGCTGCAATTGCTGTGGCCATGAAGGAGATGCTGTGCAGATGGGCAGGGCTGAGCCTTAGCCCAGGCTGGCAGGATGGTGACCCAAGGGTCCTCTCGTTTAGAGGCAGCTCTCCCCCCTAACCATGACACCAGATGTGCAGCACGGGTCCAGCTCCCTGTGTGACAGGGCCAGCAGAACAGGGATGAGGCTGCAGCAGCGCTGTGCCTGACAGCAGAGCTTCTGGAGCAAAGAGCCCAAGGAACCGCACCTGCTGTGCGAGCACAGTGCTCTTCCTCACGTCACGCTGCCATGTGTGATGGGGGCTGTTCAGGTATCAACAGGGCCCTGGGAGGGCAGGAGGAAGGAGCTGCATAAGGATCACTCTGCTCCTGCCCTAATTCCAAACATCCTGGGCATGGGCCAGACTTGCACATACTGTACCCCAAACTGGTGTCTGAAGGGAGGGCTCCCCCGGGGGGCTGGCTCACGGGGTCTGCCGGGCTCACTGTTCTCCATGACACATGAAGGGAGAAAGGGCTGATCCTGCCTAGAGCCTGGGACAGGGCAAAAGCAGCAGAGTTAGTGCCTGTAACCTGGAAAAAGCCCAGCTGGGGATGTACAGGCAGGACTCTGGGTAAAGGACAGGGAATCCCCACTGTGCTGTGGGGAGGGTGCAAACAAGGGTGGGGGAATCACTGCTCAGGGCAAGTACCACTGGGCCCTGAGAAGGGCTACAGCTCAGCGATGCAGAGCAGTTCAGCATGAGGAGCAGGGATGCCTCCCACCCCACCCCAGCCAGAGATGGGGCAGTGGCAGAGAAACACAACCACAGGGACAACACTCTCCCTGCCTGGTGTATTTTACCAGCCAGGCAGCGAGCCAGCTCCCCTCCACACAGCCCAGGACAGGGTCCCAGAGCAGGGACCTTGATCCCAGGGTTATGCAGAGGGATACATTCGAGAAATTCCTCCTACCTGCATGTGTTGCTTCCCAGAGATCCAGAGCCATCTGGAAGGCCTGGGCCACAGTCAGAGTCACAGCCTGTGCCTAAATACATGAAGGAGAGGGAATGTCTGCTTCCATCTGGGCCCTCAAGCCAGGACAACCCCACTGCCATGAAATCCCAGACCCCCCCCAGCATCCCTCGCTGCCTTTTCCTGCAGAACATACAGATGAAAGGCCAGAGCTCACTGCTGTGTCTGTCTTCTCCTGGGGGACAGCCACTCCCAAGAGGAGACCCCCAGGAGCTGGGACAGGAAACTACCCTTTGCTCACTCCCTGTCACTGCAGCGCATGAGCACACCTGCTCCCTGGCTCCAAATCCAGCTGAGGTGCACAGAGGGAAGGGCCTTCCCTCACCAAAGGAGGAGAGGCAGGGCCTTGTTCCCACCCTTACCTCACAGAGCCAAGAGCAGAAGGGAAGTGCTTACAATCTTCTTCTTGGGTGAGAGGAAGGCATGGCACTCCAGTGCCCCACTCTCCTGGCTCTGGGCAACATAAGCGAAGACTTTGTTCTGCAGTTTGTCTGTTGTGCAGTAGGAGATCCTGTGGAGAGAGGAGCTGTCAGGGCACTCTGGGGCCCCAGCACTTCTGTTGCACTCCCAGCACATCAGCAAGCACTGCTGACAACCTGAGGCAGTCACCTGTCCGAGCTGGCCAGGCAGCCCAATCCCCTAGTAAGGGCCTAAGACTGCTTGGCACCTGCAGCAGGTAAGAGATCGCTGGATCCACAGGCATTCTCTCCTGCACCCACCTAACTGTGCTCCGTGGTCCTCTGATGCCCAGATCAGCCCAATGTGTGAACTCAAGCATTGAGACAAGGGGAGCACAGAAGGGTGGGTGACTGCTTCCAAGGACACAACTGGAGGCAAGGCAGAGGGATGGTCTGACCTGGCACATCAGTTCTGGTGCTGAGACCCAAATTTTACAGCAAAATGTACTGTCTCTGTTTCCCATCTAGTCACCAGCCTGCAGCCACCCTTCCCTCACACCCAGCACCCACAAACACCCAACCCAGCCAAAGGACAGCTGGCAGCAGGAAAAATCAACATCAGCTCTCACAGCAATTGCTTTTAGGCAGCCCAAATAAGCTGCAGTTTCTGGCATTCTGCAGCCAGAAGGGTAGTCCCAGCAGTGGTGGCAGACATACAGTCCTGTCCTAACTGTGAGGCTTTCCAACCACCAGCTTCGGCATCCTGCTGAATGCCAGAAGAGACATGTGGGGTGCAAGGAGATGACAGATAGGCAGATGAACTCAAGGCCATCCAGGACCCTGCCTACACTCAGGCCCCAGGCAGTGCTAGGAGCACAGCAGGGAGAGGGCACAGGCCTCAGGGAGCCAAAGGAAGACCTAAGCTTAAAGGTATTGCTGACAGAAGGCCTAGCCCTCCCTGGCTGCCCAACGTCCCATCAGTCTCCAGTTGGCAGCTGGCTGCTGGCTGTCCCCCCATGCCATGCCCACCTGTAGATAGAGACGTTCTCCACCATTTCCTTTGTGTCTGCATCCTGCAGTGAGATGCCCCTCGGAGACACTGTCAGAATCACCTTCTGGAACTTGCGAGCTCCCACCCGTGCCTGGCAGTGGAAAGACACTGGTAATCTCTGCAAACCTGGCAAGGGTCTTTACCTCACCTCCTTGCTGGAAGGAGTCCCCCACACTCTGTACAGTGTCACCCACTTGGACCCTTGCTGCAAAGGCTCCAGCAGTAGGGATGGGATAGCAGAGCCTGGAGATCAGGCGTGCCCTGCACAGAACACTCTTGGAATCTCTTCACACTGCTGCCATGCACATAGGAAGGGATAGATCCCATCTCCCCCAGTGCTTCACCCTCTCCTCCGTGCTGTGACAGGCACAGCTCTGTTCCCAGCTGAGTTCAGGTGTGGGAGCAGGTGGTGGGGGCTGTCCTACAGGAAGGCAGCTTCTCCACAGCACACAGGCAGAGACCAGCAGCCTCCTGCACACCACCCTGCTCCTGGGAAGGGCACAATGCCTGCAGCTCAGGGCTAGGACACGGACACTTCGGGGCATCCAGGGGCTGAGCTCTGACCCTGGAATAGCAGGGCCCCAGGGCTGGGTCTCACCGTGGCCACAATCCTGCGAATGGCGGCGGCAGCCATGTCTTCTCCTTTTGGTTTTTCTACCAGAGTCATGCCTAGATACTTCAGGGTGAAGCACATCCCCTCAAGCAGTGGCTCCTGCATATCGGCCCAGCTCTCAGGAAGCTCTGCAAAGACAAAATGCCATGGAAGCCATGTGCCAGCAGCCTCACAGCTAGTGCCTGCAGGGCCACCCCACCTTGTTGAAGCTTCAGAGCTCCCCACAGCAGTGCTGCTCCCTGATCTCAGCAGGACACTCTCCTGGCTCTGTGACACTCTCATAAGAGGAACAGAAGAAGAAGACAGTTCACCCTCAAAGCTTTAGTCCTCCAGCCCTGGACATGCAGGCTTTATCAGCACAGACAGACAGCTCCTGCATATCTGCACACAACTGAGGATGCTACAGTGCTCACTGCTGTCTGCACAAACCTTGTGTTCCTGGTTCTCATCTGTTTCGTTACAAATGAAATGTTCTCAGCGGTGCATTCATCTCACCCACCTGAGCTGCTGGCACACCTCAGAAGCAGCAGCAGTCACTGCCACTCAGATCAAAAACCCCAGGTTGCCCCAGTGTAAGCAAGCCAAACCCACTGGCAGCAGCAGGCTGCCAGGGCAGGGGCAGCTTGGCCAGCACTCGGGATCCAAGCTGCAGTAACTGGGAAACAACTGCACTTCAGAGATGCTGTGTTAAGAAAGAGCTGGGAATTGCCTCGGTATGTAATGTTCATGCTAAGCTAATACTTTTCAGGGTTATTTTCACCTCTTCCCTGGGATTAGCTCCCTGAGCATTACTGGCACACTTGCAGAAGGGTCCAATTCATAATTGGAATAATCTGAACCCACAGGGAAATCAGGAGACCTTATTTGCACAGCATATTCCTTCACAGGTGACAACTGCCAGGGAGCCTGCCTGGTGTCATGCAGGCACCGGTGACCTACACCCCAGTCAGAAAAGCCCTGTGTCACTCTGAACTCTGAGGACAGTCCATGCGTGCCAGGGTCAGCACTGCTGCTCCTGCAAAGTCTTTGGGCAGCTGTGACTGAGAACAGCCAGACACAGCCCCCCCTTGGCACGGGGCGCCTGAGGGGTCATGAAATCATGGAGTGGTTTGGGTGGGAAAGGACCTTAAAGCTCATCCAGTTCCACCCCCTGCCATGGGCAGGGACACCTTCCACTATCACAGGTTGCTCCAAGCCCCGTCCATCCTGGCCTCGAACACTTCCAGGGATGGGTCGGTGGCTCGGACAGCACGGACAGGCCTGGCACACTCGCTGCAGGCCGGGGAGGGCTCCGGTGCAGCCCAGCGCGTTCCAGCGCCTGCCGCGGCTGCCTGGGCCCGTCAGCCCCCGGCGCGGCAGCCTCGGTTGATAAGTGGCGGCAGTCAGGGGAGCGGGGTGGGGAGAGCTCGGCGAGCGGCCATAGCACTGCTGTGGCCCCGGCCCCGGCCCCGGGCTCTCCCGGCCCTCCAGCCCCTCGCCCCGCGGCTCCGCGTCCCGGCGCAGCCGCACCCGCACCGCTCCCTTCGGAGGGCAGCGGCCGCATCCGAGACCGACCTCGCCGAGCTGCGAGCTCCCCTCCCGGAGGGATGCCCGGTCCCTGCCCGCTCCCCCCCGAGCGGAGCGATGCCCGGCCCCTGTCCGCTCCGCTCCCGGAGCGATGCCCGCTCCCTGCCCGCTCCCTGCCCGGAGCGATGCCCTCCTGCACTCACTGCGCCGTCGGCGGAGCCCCAGGCCGTGCCGGGCGAGGCGCGGGCTCCGCAGCACGGCGCGCCCCGCCGCCCGCAGCGCCTCCATGGCGGAGCCCGAGCCCGAGCCCGAACCGGAGCCGGAGCCGGAGCCGGAGCCGAAGCCCGAGCCAAGCCCGAGCCCAGCCCAGCCCAGCCTTGCCGCTGTCGGTGGGGGGGTCGGTCCCCGCGGGCTCGGCGCGCTCGCGTCAGCGCGGCGCTGGCGCCGGGGTTGCGCGGCAACGGGGGTGGGCCGAAGCGGAGCCGGCGGCGGTAGCGGCAGCCAGGAGGGCCCGTGGGATCCTCCTGGCCCCGGCTTCGTTCCTGGAGTAGGGCGCGATGCAGCTGCGGCACGTGCGGACCCTGCTGGTCCCCCAGGTCGGGCTGGGCCGGCCGGGTCGGGCCAGGGGGAGCGGGCCGGGCCGGGCTGGGGAGGGCCGGGGGAGCGTGCCGGGCCCTCCGGCTGTGTGCCCGCTGAGCTGTGTGTGCCCGCAGGACGGGACGGCTCGGGTGACCTGCATGGCCTGGTCCGCCAGCAGCGCCCGGTTCGCCGTGTGCACCGCGGAGCGCGTGGTGCTGCTCTACGACGAGCAGGGCGAGCGGCGCGACAAGTTCTCCACCAAGCCGGCCGACGCCAAGGTGAGGGACCCGAGGCCGGACGGCGTCGGGGCTGCCGACCTTCCCCGGTTCACACCGACTCTCTCTGCAGTACGGCAGGAAGAGCTACGTGGTCAAGGGCATGGCCTTCTCCCCAGACTCCACTAAACTGGCCATCGGGCAGACGGACAACATTGTTTACGTGTACAGGATCGGCGAGGAGTGGTGAGTCTGTGGTGAGGTCCAGCACGCTCTGTCCCGCCCTGCTGTGTGCTCCCCGGGCCTGATCCTCTCCCTGGCACACTCAGCTGACTCGCAGGGAGTCATGCAGCCACGCTGTCCGTGGGGAACAACCGGTGAGGTTTCCTTGGCTCAGCCCCTCTGGAGCCCTGTCAGTGCACGCAGCCAGATGGCTGTCTTCCCCCGTGTCACAGATGTGTAGCTGTGGCACACACCTGCCCCATTGCAGCTCCATTTGCTGGCGTGAGTTGTGCTAAAGACACGGAAACGCAGATCACCAGAATTTTGGAAGCTCAAAAGTTTGGGTTCTTTTTGATGTTCTACCTAAAGTTGTGATACACAAGCAGCACGCAAAACTTCAGCAGCTTGTGTTGGCAGTACCAAAGCAGACTGCATACAAGCGGTGGAGTGACCAGAATGGGCAGTATTAACAGCCTTGCTGATAGTAATTTTTGTCTACCTTTTTCTGCAGGGGTGACAAGAAGGTGATATGCAACAAGTTCATCCAAACGGTGAGACCCAGGCTCCTGTTTGACTCCATTTTCTCCAGCATATGTAGGAAAAGACAAACTTGGCCAAACTGTACTTGATCTCCAAAAAATGCAGGTAGATCCTAAGAGAATCTCTACATTTTGAGGCATGTATTGCTTACCAAGCTTCAGAGGCTTCCTAATTCCTGGGTACAACACCACAGTTAATTGTTGAACGATCCGTGCAGTCAGTTACAAAACTTTGGGGACTACTTTAGGCATCAGCGGACAGAATATTTTAGGGGAATTGAAAGGGAAAACTGGAAAAGACTCAGCATCCAACTATTTTTCACAGGTTAGGAACTCTAAACCCCAGGAGTCCTTTTTAAACAAAATGTAAAGTGTACAGAATTCAAACTGTGCAGTTTCCACATGTTCAAGGACCTCAGGTTTGTGATTTCAGTCAAATTTGCTCCTTGACCACCTTCACGTTCTGCTGCTCTGGCTCTGCCTACCTCTGTTAGAGAGCAGTCTGCCCAGTTAGTGTGCCAAGGGTTGCCCTAAGTTCGGTCTGGAGAAGGCAAAGGTATTATGAAGTCCTTGCACAGAAAGCCATCTGACTACTTTTATGTTCAGAGGCAAAAGTCCAGCAGCTGCCTAAGGCTTTCCAGGCAAGTACCACCACACCAAGACACCCACATTCTTCGTGTCACCAAGGAAGTTCTCTGTTAGGTAGCAGGAATCCTTCTTGTCCAGATCCTCAGGAACATAGAGCTGCTCCTGGTGGAATTGCTGGCATTTCTGTGCCAGGCTTTCTCAAGCTGTCTCTCAGGAGAAGGACAGCCTCAGCCTGTGGGTTGAAAGCCTACATCTTGGAGTTGAGCCATGGCCCAGCTCTGTGGCCACTTTTAGGGTGTCTCAGGAGGCCCCCCAGCCTCTCTGAGTGCTCTCTTCTGGCTGTGGGAGGGGAGCTCTTGGAACTCTGTGGCTCGAGCAATAAGAAAGCTGCTGGTCAGCCTCTGTTTCTCTCTGGTTGAGCTTCTGAACTGGTTGGTCATGACACTGGAATAGAGTGTCATGAGGAAAAGAGAGCAAGAGGGGCTTGGTGTCCTTTTGTCCCTCTCCCGAACAGGGTGGTTATCGCAGGTGTGGACACCTGTAGCCTCTCTGGAGAGCCCTTTCCTTGTGTACTGCTGGCTGCCTGCTCTTCTGTCTAACAGCCTGGTGGGAGCCTGCTTGCCTCTCACAAGCTTGAATGCTGTGCACAGCATGCATACAAGTTTTTGTATTTTTAATGCAGCAATTCAGTGATTTTTTTTTCCTCTCATTCTCTCATTTCTCCATGCCTTTTCTACCATTTCTAACAAAATAAATCCTTTATTTTTTCTTGTGCTATATGTGTGGTTTTTTACCACTGTGTCCAGCTTTCTCCTGTTATTTCCAAATTTTTCATGTGTTCAGCCAATATGAGACATCATTTATTGTTCCCTTTCCCTCTTCTGCCACTAGGCATTCTTACACACCCAGTGATCATTGTGGCACTATTCAGCCCTGCTGGCAAGTCAGGCCTCCTGCTTGAGGGCTGGGACAAATGTGTGCAAGTGTGACTGCTTTGCAGAAGCAGAGAGTAAATTCCCACTTGTGAGACTTTTTCCCAAACTTTTGTTGTGTTAGACTGAAAACAAGAGTCTGCCAGATAATGAAGGAAATATACAGATTCCTGGGAAACAGTGGTAATGAAAATGGGTTTGGTCATTGGTTGTACCTCTTAATTATGAGCAGTTTGGGTACCATGGGACATTTTGTTGCCTGATTGTAGCTGTGTTTGCTGATATGAATGATCTGAGTGGGGATAGAAGGTGAAATGAGTACATGAGGGTGTAAATGTATCTAAAGCAGCCCCAGATGCTTAAGATGGGACAGAGGAGCCAGTGAGGCTGGTGCTAGTGGCACAGTGACGAACACCAGCCTTCTTACTGACTGGAGTTGTGCAGGGTAAATGTGAAGGGCTTTCGTTAGCTCTCTTGGCCCTCTCTTACAGTTGGGTTTTGCGGTTGGCTTTATTTATCCTGATCCCACCTCAGATTTTGGGAATACCTTTGGTTTGGATTTAGTAGTGTCTAATAACCATATTGCTTGTCAATGAAAAAATAAAGGCTATTTCTGATTCATCAAATGACGATCCAGCGTGCAAGTATTCTCATAGCTATTAGAGAAGCTGGCAGAGTCACATTATTTTTATGTTTTATACTTCTTGCAAAAAACCTTTTGAAACAGTAATGATTTTGTACGTTCAGCCACAGCACGTGGAAAACCACAGCCCCTGTTCAGTAAGTAATGCTCTCAGAAGAGCTCCATTCTGAACACATCGTATCACTTCGTTGCCCTCCCTTAACCCTCCTGAGCCCATTACTTTGCCCTAGCTCACTATTATGTAGTTAAGCTTCAGCGTGCAGGGCCTCAACCCTGCTGTAAGGTCTGCCAAATGCCCCATCTCTCCTGGTCTGAGTGGTGTCAGTGTTCATGAGCTGTCTTAGGTGGAAATGGGGCAGGAAGCTGAGTAGGATGGAGTTCCTAACCTCTCTTTTTACCTCCTCCTTGGCAGAGTGCCGTAACCTGCTTATTGTGGCCAGCGGAGAATGTCATTGTCTTTGGTCTTGCTGAAGGAAAGGTAGAGAAACTTGTTATTTGCCTGGGTTTTTTTTCCATACTGAGATTGCCAGGGCGTGCAAGCACCTGAGCTGTGCAGGCAAGAGCCATCAACATGTGGCACTGAGCATGGAATAGCAACAAAGAGATTACACTGTGCACTTGAATTTTCTGGTTCCCAGCTAGTCCTTGGAGGTTCTATTGGATCACTTGGTTCTTTTCCCAAGCCTTTCTAGAAATGTGGAAGTGTGACTCCAACTTTTCCACTTCTCCAACCTCCCAGAAGGCTTCCTGTGATTCCTGGTGCTGGTCATGGACTGGGAAACCTCTGGGAACGTTACACTGGGGAGGATCCACCTTCTGCAGACAGAAGCAACATTGATCAGATTCTCTCTCTCAGGTTCGTTTAGCAAATACAAAGAACAACAAGTCTTCCACCATTTATGGGACAGATTCCTACGTGGTCTCGCTAACTTCCAAGTGAGTATGGCATTGCTTTGGCTTGCCCTGCTTTGGCTTAGTGTCCTACCTGCTGCTGGCCTGGCATAACTGGTACCAGTATGGGAGGCTGCCAGTGTCCTTCTGCTGTCAGTTACTTGTCAAGATAATAACAT